GCTTAGATTAACTTGAAATTTAAAATTAAGATCAGATGACGCATCGTAACAGTATAAATAGCAGTGTTCTTTGTTTTTTTAATATAAAGATGCCAATTTTAATTGACTGTGTAAAAATAACAAAAAATAAATATACTTCCTAATATACTACTTTTTACTAGCCCATTCCAGATATCATCATCAAATCTTTATCATAGTCAAAGACCAGCAAAATCAGATAATAATTGGAGTGTTTTCTCTGCTGTTATACCTGTTTTGTTTTTCTTTTCATTATCAAGGAATATTTTAACAGCTTGGCATTAATGATCGGTATTGTGTCAAATGAGATAAATTATTAAGTGTGGTGTGAAGTCAATTAGGCTGAGTAAACTTCATTTTAATTTATTTAGGGACTTATTGCTGTAGAGTATATGGTAGGCACTCTATATAAGAAATTAAAATGTTTCACTAGTCTTTTATATATGCCATTATGCAGATGTTAAAATGTTTTGCTCACCAGGGGTAGCCGGACTAATTGAAAAAGCAAGCTAATAGAAAAATAAGTTATTTTATTTTATTTATTCTGTTAAGTGCTCAGCCATGTCAAATTTGTATGGTAATTCTTCTATTCACTATGAGTAGTGATTCATTATGAGATCAATACATATTCAGTGGTTTTCAGGGCAAAGTTGTTAGCAATTGCAACATAGAGTTGGGTATCTCTTCAGTTTCAAAGGTTGAAATACGTTCTTGGGGTGGACATGGCCTTTGTATGAGGCAAATGTGTCTTTTCTTGGAATTGTGCAGCAATTGAAGAGGGATCCTGGAGGGAAAAATGGAGCTGCTTTAAGAAGTTGCAGAAGGATGGTATGCTCATTTCCTGTATATGCAGAAGCATCTCTTCTCCCTTGAATTCAAATCCTACCCACTTCTATTTATCCCAATTATATAACAATAGATGTCTTAAAACATTCAACTCCAAACCTGGCCACTTTTTAGGAGCATTGCAGGATATTTTGTAGAATGTACAGTATTGTTTTGTTTGCCTTATGTTTGGCAAGTTTCCAAAATATTCTATTATATCAAATATTTATACAGATACAACATCTGACTTGCATACCTGGCTCACCTACCTGTGAGAATTTGGCTTGTAGTCCATCACTGTATATTCCACTACCATCTAAAAACCTCATTCAGAATCTTTACCTTCTACTAAGACTGAATGATTGCTTAGTGGCAGGTTAACGCAGGCAAAATTATGAACTCTTCTCAAAGAAGCAGAAAATTAGGTTAAAGTTCATAAAATAATTGGCTTATTTTCATTTCATTTCATTTCATTTATTGGATTTATATACCGCCCTACTCCCGAAGGACTCAGGGCGGTGAACAGCCACAGAATAAAACACATAAATACAAAATTTAAAAACAGAATAAAACCAAATTAAACAATTTGGCCGAGACAAATTTAAAACACCCAATAATTTTAAAAACAAATTAAAATTTACATTTTAAATTATTTGCTCCATTGCTAGTAATAGCAAGACTCCTTGAGGCATCCTATAATAAGCCCAGCTTGGTTATGATCCAGACTGGCTCAATTTCAGTTGTTAGCTTGCTGCAGTAGTGGGTTTCAAATTTTTTTTACTACCGGTTCTGTGGGTGTGGCTTGGTGTGTGTGGTAGGGGAAGGTTACTGTAAAATCTCCATTCCCACCCCACTCCAGGGGAAGGTTACTGCAAAATCCCCATTTCCTCCTGATCAGCTGGGACTCGGGAAGCAGAGAATAGATGGGGGTGGGGCCAGTCAGTGATGTTATTTACCGGTTCTCCGAATTAGTCAAAATTTCTGCTACTGGTTCTGTGGGTGACCAGTTCTCCAGAACTGGTCATAACTTGCTGAAACCCACCTCTGCTTGCTGCATACAAACATTTTAGCTTCAAAAGCTTTACTGTTTAGTTATTAATTTTAGTTATACTTTGTTAGCAAAAATGATTATCAATATTAAATACTAATTATATTGCTTTTCTTATCTATGCAGTCACAGAGATCCTTAATACATCCTACTGCATGGGGCCTCCAAAACATACTAAGGCAACTGGCTACTGATACAATTCATATTCATCATCATAATATATCACCATGATAGTATTCTGAGGGCCAGCTCAATATGACATTACTGTAACAAGAAAAAGCCTTTAAATATTTGGTATTTGGAGACCCAGAAAAATCTTCCAGACAATGTTTTAAAGCATTCCTAATACAAAGTGGGCAAGCCTAACATGAATTTGTGTTTTGCTTGTGGGGAGCAATGTGCCAAGGTTGATTTTGAATTAGTAACCATGGGATGCATTGAAGTCAAGCTAGAGGTACAGTATTAATATTTATAATGAGCAGGATGTTGTTGTCTCAGGTTGGATCTAACGTAAATTCACTGTTTAAAGTGGAAAAAACGGTCTTTTTTTCCTTTTTGTTTCTTTTTTGATGGAAGAAACATTGGTGCAAAATAGAAGAAAAAAGAAAAGGTGCTACTTAGTCCATTTCATTACAATGTTTGAAAAGCTATCTCTGTGTTTATCTCTACTTGTACTAAAGTTTTGTGCTAATTCTGACAGCAAAGTAATATTTTTTTGTGAAGGATTAGGAGAGGTAACATAATTAAATCAGGGTTTTGTTATGGACTTGAAATCTTTTTTCCTTAAATATACATAGTCCTTAACTTACAACCATTCATTTAGGGACTATTTGAACTTTCAACGGCACTGAAAAAAGTGACTTACGGCCGCTTTTCATACTTACAACCATTGTAGCATCCCAGTGGTGACATGATTGAAATTCGGGTGTTTAGCTACTGGCATGTATTTATGACAATTGCAGTGTCCTGGGGTCATGTGATCACCATTTGTAACCTTGTAAGCTGGAAGTCAATGACGGAAGCCGGATTCATTTATTAATTGCATGAGTCACTTAACAACTGCAATGATTAACAACTGTGGCAAAAAAGCTCGTAATATGAAGTACAACTCACTTGACAGCTGCCTTGCTTAGCAATAGCAATAGCACTTAGACTTATATTCCGCTTCACAGTGCTTTGCAGCCCTCTCTAAGAGGTTTACAGGGTCAGCATATTTCCCCCAACAATCTGGGTCCTCATTCGATCTGCCAAACTGCTAGCAGCCAGTGATCAGCACAAGTAGCCTGCAGTACTGCATTCTAACCACTGCACAAATTTTGGCTCAATGGAGGTCATAAGGACTACCTGTAAACTGGGAGATATTTGGTTTAAGGGAGTGCAGATGAAGACGTCAGGCATATCACCTCTCCTGCGTGAGCTGCACTGGCTTCCAGTGGTCTTCCGGGTGCGCTTCAAGGTGTTGGTTATCACCTTTAAAGTGCTCCATGGCATAGGACCTAGATATCTTCGAGACCGCCTACTGCTACCGACGGCCTCCCATCGACCTGTGCGCTCCCACAGAGAGGGCCTCCTCGGGGTGCCATCAGCCAAACAATGTAGGCTGGTGACTCCCAGGGGGAGGGCCTTCTCTGTGGGGGCACCCACCCTCTGGAACCAACTGCCCCCAGAGATTAGGAGAATCCAAGACCTTGGTGCCTTCTGCCGTGCCCTTAAAACCCTCTTTTTTCAGCAAGCCGGGCTGGCTTAACTTTTTTTTTCTTAATTTTTTAAATGTTTTAAATGGGTTTGTTATTGTTCTTAAATTACAGGGCCAAATTTATATATATTCTTTTAATACTATTTTAATGTTTGTAATTTATGTTTTTATTCGGCTGTACACCGCCCTGAGTCCTCAGGGAGAAGGGCGGTATATAAATTGGATATAAAATAAAATAAATAAATAAATATCTAGGTGGCAAAAACTGGAGAATCATAAATGGCAACAATTGGAGCGTTGTGTACCTTTATGTACATAAACCAGAGCTTTATGTACATAAAATACATAAAAAAATTTTATAAATTTTTATTTTTATAATTTTATACAATTTTGTAAAACAATCAGAGCTTGATGTACCTTTATGATTGATTGATTGATTGATTGAACCTCATCTAGTGGGCATCTAGATTTTTGCCACCCAAATATGGTATACCTACCTCTACCTCTTCCTCTTCCTTCTCTGAATTCATTTCTATCCTTCACTCATTGATTATAGCAATAGCACTTAGACTTATATCCCGCTTTACTGTGCTTTGCAGCCCTCCCTAAATCGTGTACAGAGTCAGCATACTGCCCCCAATAATCTAGGTCCTCATTTTACCCACCTCAGAAGGATGGAAGGCTGAGTCAACCTTGAGCCTGGTGAGATTTGAACTGCCAAATTGCAGGCAGCCAGCGGTCAGCAGAAGTAGCTTGCAGTACTGCACTCTAATCACTCTGCCACCATGGCTCATTAGTTATGGTTATCATTCACTGAAATTCCAAAATTGGCAATGATTTTTGTAAAACATAATTTCTGAAAATTATTAATGATACACTGTTAAGCTTTTGTAGAAAAAGAGCAGGCGTATATATTCTCTGCTAGTCCCATGCAAACTAGTGTTTGGAAGCCTCTTCATTAAAGTTGTTCACAGTTACAGTGAAAGCCTATGCACATATCATATAGTTTCTCCTAATGGTTATACTTTCAAATATCTCCCTCAGGAAAGGGAAGAAGAATAAAGAAAAAGGGAAAGAATCAAACTAGGAGGTGGAAGATGGAACTGGAGGACATGGAAAACGGTGCTTTATTGTCCATGTCCACAACCTCTGAAAGCCACAGTTTTATAATGAAAACTGAACATGATATGAAAGTGCAATTTTATACTTTCAATTTTTGACTTGAGTAGGTGTGATGACTGTTTCCTGTTTTGTTTCTGTCAGGAAAACGCCTATCTGGAATCCAGAATTATTGCAGTTTAAATTACACAAAGTGCATTATATATTGTATGCCCAGGTTACAATTTGTTTTGCCTCTGTTAAATCAAGAAAATATTTTTTTTCTAAAACTGTGTATATTTTCATTTCTTACAGATCACCAGAAATTAGAGAGAGAAGCTAGAATCTGTCGCCTTTTGAAGCACCCTAATATCGGTAAGAATATAGAAGGATACATCCATTGAGAATCTTAGGACAATTAGCTTGAAGATAGTTCCATAAAAGTAAGAGATAAAAGAGGGGAAGCAATTTTACTCTGGTGTAGTAGTGTTGTCAGACATAAGCTCCTTTCAGATGTGGATATTATAATAAATGATGGTCGATTAACAGGAACAAGCCTAGCATCACAATCTCACAATCTGTTCCTTTTATCCATTTATCCACTGTGTCCAAAATGAGGAACATGAAGAATTGATGGCAATTAGTGTCTTCTTAAAACACTAAACTATGGTGCTTTAGATAACGAAACAAGTTTCATAAACTATTTTTTTGCAGTTGGGTTGTTAAAAAATCATAGTTATGATAAACAAGATTTTTGGTTCAAGCGGTATTATTTTAAAATAGAGGTGAAAACGTCTAGTCTTTAGGGTTATTCAAGAGGAAGAATGACTTCTTTTTATGACTAGGTTTGGAATCTGGCCTAGGAAAGCATCTGCTTTCTCAGAATGTGCTGTATATATTTGGATATGCAAATATTTCCCAGTTTCATAGAGTTTCCTTTTGCCATACAGAGACAATGCTATGTCGCTTTTTATATTTTGAACAAGGGACAATGGGGGAGGTCTTTCTAGATTTGAGCTCATTCTTTGCCGTAGAGTGAAGAAGCAACCATGCCCTTCATGACAAAGTGAAACAGAACATGTGAAACTTGTTGAGGAATTTATAGCCTGTCAGATTCAGTTTTGTACACTGTGCAGGTTGCCCTTGACTTTCAATCACAATTGGGACTAGCATTTCCATTGCCAAGCAATGTGGTCATCCTCATGATGTTGTATGATTGGCATTTCTTACCAATGGCAATCTTGACATTCCCTATTGCTGTCGTTAAACAAATTAGGCAAGAACCCACCCCAGTGTAAACCATCTCCAAGATTTGGATCTTCCAAAATAAGGAAATGCCTCCCCTTCAATTCCACCCAAGCACCTCTTCATTCCATTTCTTCCCCATCCCGGGGAAACTCCCAACAGCGTGATGCAAAGCCACAGCTTTACAGGAAGTCCCCCAATCCAGTCCCAGCCATAAATGCTCTCACCACTATGTGCTCCGAAGTCCCTGCTGCTCTAGCTAACCTTCACCATCTTCTTGCTCCTGCTGCTGACAAGGTGTTTCAACCCTGCCTCTTCAGGAGGGCCACATGAAGCCATATTCCCCTGGTCCCATGAGAAGACATTGTGCATGATTTTGGGAAGAAAGTCTCATGCCGCCAGCAGTTGCCCCTTGAATGGCAGGCTAGCCACTGTTGAATAACAACAGTGGGAACAAAAGGACAGTGAAGTCAGCTAAAATGGCAGGGACCATGGAGTGCAGGGGGCCAAAAGGGCATATATGGGGAGAGAGGTAAGCAGCTGGGGAGAGTTGAAGTGCCCCTGTAGTCATAAGTGCAGGCAGGCTGCCGAGTACCCACATTTTGATCATGTGAGTATATGGGCATTCATTGGTTTATAACTTCAGGGACCAATTCTGAGTCCCTTTTTTCAGGACCACTGTAACAATCACTAAAGAAATGGCTGTAAATCAAGGACTATCTATATAGCTTGGCCAATCTTACAAACCGTTGCAGTACTGCTCTGTTGCCTTATCCTGTCTAAGCTGATGTTTTGGTGGTTCCTGTCAGTTTGAATATATTTATGGACATAGAAAAGCTATTGCTTGATTTTGGGCCTCTGGTGTGGAGTTCAGCAGTTTTTTTTGTATGGTGATGTCCTAAATTCCTTGGTCCTTACTGTGCATCTGTGAAAAACAGAGAATGTTGACATTATATAAGACTTGGCTATTCGGTTTGAGAAAATGATACCCACCTTTGTAATGGTAAGATTAAAATGGTTTATTTTTCATTCTATATGATAGGAGAGAAAAATATGCTTGCATAAAATAGGCAATTCCAGTGTGGCAGAGTTAGAAAAGACTTGAGGCCAGAAGATTGTATTTTGTTTCTTCCATCAAAATGTTGGGCACATTTGGAGGCAATTTTCTCCTTGAGTTGCTACTCTTTTGGGAGGAAGGAAGTCAAGAGACCAGAGTATTTCAAGGATAAAGGGCTTTCTGCCCGTTCCAGAATATATATATCTCAGTATAATTATTCTTGTAGTTTTATCTTGCTTGAAACACTTGGTTTCCTTTTGTAATCACTAAAATTCAGTGTAATGCCTTTAATTATTTAGAAGACATGCATTTTTTTAAAAAAGGTTAAACATATTAATCTTTAAATAGAATAACTGAAAACTGCAATTATATATATTTATATGTATGTATACACACACACACACACACACAAATTCAATCTGTTGGGGGGAGGCAATGTTTTGCGAAGTGCAGAAAAGGAGTAAGAATTTGTAAGCTAAAGAAATTACACCATGAGATTAAAAAAAAGGATGGAAAAGCTAGCTAAATCTAATTTATGCCAACATTGTTCATTGTATGGTTCTATAACTTTATATTGTTGCAAACCATGCTACTTCTTTATAGCTGTTCCTCGACTTATGATTACATAATTGGGACAAGAATTTCCATTGTTAAGTAGGGTGGTTGTTAAATGAGTGACACCTTATTTTATGACCTTTTTTTGGCCACAGACGTTAAGTGAATCATGGGCTAGTTAAGTGAATCAAGTGGTTGTTAAGCAAATCCGGCTTTGCCCATTGTTTATGCTTCTTGGAAGGCCGCTGGGAAGCTCAAAAATGATGACTACATTATCCCCGGGGACCCTGAAGCTGTCATGTACACAAACCCATGGTCAAGTGCCTGAATGTTGATCAGGGGATGTGATCAACGTGAGGATATTGCAACAATCGTAAGTGCGTGACCAGTTGTAAATCACTTTTTTCAGTGCCATTGTCACTTCGAATGGTTGCGAAACAAAAATGGCTGTAAATCCAGAATTACCTGCATGTTACAGATTCATTTTGATTTTTGAAGGTTCTTTTTTTTCTTCTCTCATCAACACCATCCAACCATGATTTTCTTACTATCACTGTTCCTCTTGGCCGGGGGTGTCAAACTCGATTTCATTGAGGGCCACATCAGGGTTGTGTTTGACCTCTGGGGGCTGGAGTGGGCATGGCCAGCTCAGGCCTGGAGTGGCCTGAGTGCTCTGCCAGTGAAAATGGGTGCCTGAGCTCCGTTTTTTGCTGCGACTGTCTCCTGCAACCCTCTGCCAGCGAAAACGGAGCTCAGGAGAGCCCCATGTGGCCCCTCGTGAGCTTTGTTTTCAGCTGCGATGGCCTCCTGCAATCCTCTGACTGTGAAAGCAGATGCGGCCCTCCCAAGCTCCATTTTCGCTGGCAGAGGCACCACAGGCCACTCCTTTACTGTTTCCAGAGTGTCCCCGCGGGCTAAATCTAAGCACTCTGCAGGCCTGATATGGCCCCCGTGCCTTGAGTTTGACACCTCTGCTCTTGGCTAATGAACTCTTCATTTATATATTTGGGATTTATTCGCTCCAACCTACCTTCATGGTCATTCTTATTTCAAACCAGTCACTCTCTTTAAACCTTAATCCTCATTCCTGCAATACTTAACTCAGCCTTCTTGATTCCACCTTGCTCTGGTTTTCCACGTGCATTTTTTAAATATCTCATTCCCACTGCATTCTGCAGTGTTTTTAGGTTTCTCTTAACCACAAAATAGCAGAAGCATGCTGCTAATCATAGTCATTCTGCTTCTTTTGACAGACATCTATTCCTCATGCGAGATCATATGTTACCCGTTACATTGACCAGAATCTGCAGATCTTAAAATTTCTCTGCATAGTATCCCTTCTTCTACCAAGGCACCATACTTATTTAAAAACTCAGAGACATCTCTTGATCAGAGTGGAAATTTATCTGCCTGCTCTGTTCTTCATTTTTTATGTGTAATTTGAAGTTAGACACTCCACACAAAGCATAACTGTCTTTATTTTTAAAAATATATTCATTTTCAGATGCACCTGCCTTGGTTTCTGATACATTCATTTTCAGTTCAAGTTGCATGTTGCATCATGCAATCCATTTAGGAGTTGCTGCAAATAATTTGGTTTTTCAACCAATGAGACATAATCTGCATACAAAAATACACACATGTTTAAATTCCAACCAACCAATAAACCTCTGCCATCACCATATATGTTTCTTATTCATTTAACTATAAATACGGCAAACAACCAAGAAGAACTCATGCATTCTAAGCGTCTCAGTCTTGAACCATTTGCTAAACATTGCATTTATTCTTCCACATATATGATGTTTAACAGCTATTATTATTATTATCTCATTCAGCAACAATCTTTCATCTTGTAGGTTACTGACTTTTTTGCCCAGCTTCTACCTTTTTCTTCATTGCAGACAGTTTTAAGTGTTTTCATTCATTCATGCAATTATCTCTTACATTTCAAGTCACAATCTTCCAAATACCTGAACCTCACATATATTCATTGTAGTCATTCATCATAGCTTTGATAAATTATTTTCTAATAATACAATTTGGCACGCTGGAGAAGGAAGAGATAGATTACCACCCTTAAATATTTCATAGAAAATTCCCTTTCGGTAATAAGAATTGGACTGTAACACATTTTGACCAGTGTGCTATAAAGAAAATCAAGGTCCAAATTTATTCCAAGCACGAACACAGTGTTTTCTAATCTAGATGCTATTGATTGCATCCTACCAATTTGGATATATTATGCATGGAATGTAGAGGCACATCCGCAGGATACAAAATACTGTACTGTGTAGATAATGATGTTGATCATTCGTTTCATTTGAGAAGTGTAAGGCGAAATGCATGTACATGAATATGTTTTAAAGTTTTTCATAATACTTTTATGTACATATTTGTGTCTGTGTACACAGATGCATAAAGAGAGATAATAATATAAAATCTCAGTGTCTTTCTGACCATTTTCTATCTGTGTACAATAAATGAATGGAAGCTGGATGATGTTTAAGTATATAGA